AATCTTCAAAGCAATTGCTCTTGAAATCCTGACTTTTCCCAAAGCTAGGTTAAAGATATTAGAAATTTAATCACCTTTTTTAATTTCCATTTTCAATTAGTGACACATTTTATAGTGAAAGGAACACAGAACAGAAAAGAAGAAAGAGGGTTTTTTTGACCACGTTCACAGGGGTCTCAGGCTGAGGGAAGAGACAAGGATTTGACTCCATGTTTCAGAAGGCTTGATTTATTATTTTATGATATCTATTATATTAAAACTATACTAAAAGAATAGAAGAAAGGATTTCATCAGAAGGCTAGCTAAGAATAGACAAAGAAAGAATGGTAACAAAAGCTTCTGTCTCAGACAGAGAGTCCGAGCCAGCTGACTGTGATTGGTCATTAATTAGAAACAACCAACATGAGCCAATCACAGATCCACCTGTTGCATTCCACAGCAGCAGATAACCATTGTTTACATTTTGTTCCTGAGGCATCTCAGCTTCTCAGGAGGAAAAATCCTAAGGAAAGGATTTTTCATAAAAGATGTCTACGACAGGTTTTTTCACTGTATTGTTTTTCCTGAAGGATGTGTCTCTACTAGAAAAAAACTTAAACTAAACTTTGAAACAGCCTTTTTTTATATCTCCTATAAGTGAAAACATCCCTTACCCTGGTCCAAACATTTTCTGTCTTCAACAAATGGCCCTGTTGTGGGCAGGGATACATGGTCCACAGTGAGCAGAGTTAAGTTAGTTTTGCCTGTGCTCTGAGTAGAGCAACCAAAAGCTGGATACACACAATTATATCAGTGCTGGACCTGAGCTGATTTGTTCTTCTGAAAAGTGGATTAGGTAAGGCCCAGAGCTGGGATAACCAGGTTTGAATGGCTTCTGGTTAGCTCAGAGTGTAGGAATACTTTTTGTGTGTCTCTTGGGTAACACACTATACAGATATATCCACATCTGACATGTTGCATCATGTTTAATCATCAAGTACCATGAATCTATAAAAGTACTTCTAGGGAAGAAATTAAAATCAAATATTTCCTTCTGGAGAGTATTTTCAAGCTCTCTTTCACTGTGACCTGCTTGCTCACTGTGTTCCTCACGTGTAGTTGGAGGTTGACTCAGTAGGTTGAGAATAAGGGAAAGCAGACAATAGAAACTGCTTAGAAAATCTTCCTGCTTTGAAGTTTCTATTCTAAGGTAGGCTGAAGTATTACCTTTGCCTCTCTGGATTAAAGCATTTCATGAAATATCTTTACTCATGTGCCTGTGTACAATGCACACATATGACACGTCTACCCTCAGTGGGCTGGCCCTGATCACAGAAGTGCAAATCTGGGCAGTCTGAGCATCTCCGCAGTCTCTTGCTTACAAGACAGTCCTTTGTGCCTTTCCAGACTGCTCATTGCAGGAGGTATGAAAGAAGAATCCTGTCTGCACAAGATTTATGACTGGGAGAAATCACACTCTGTCTCTTCCTGTCCACCCAAGTCTTTTGGGAAGCACCCACACAGAGTAAGTGGAGCTCTTTTCCAGTCATCTATTTAGATTGGAAGGCCTCATGATTTTCTTGGAAAGCAATCACTTATGAAGTCCCCCTGCAGAATGTTGTTGAGACCTGTGCTGTGGAAATTATTGATATAATCATATACAACCAATTTGTAAGGGCCTAGTGGGGGAAGGCATAAAGAGCCTTAGTCTGACATTTAGAATTAATGCCAGGAAAGATACTTCTCCTCCAGAGATATATGAGAAGCCAATGTTACACACTTGCAGACATAGTAAATGTGCAGGACCTGAACAGCTAAAAGAATGGTCTAATCAAAAGCTCATTGAATGCTGTGAGAAACTTCCTACCAGTTTCAGAGTTGAAATATTGAATTTATTTCTTGTCTAAAACAATGGAAGGAATTAATGACTAGAAAAGGGTTTGTAGTCTCTGCACAGAAATGTAATGGAGTCTGCCTCCCCATGTCTTTTGATACTCCATTTATGCATTTTTATTTGGGAGATCAATCTTCAGAGTGTCTATGCAACTTACTTCTTCAAGGGAATTAAAAAAAAAGTATTTTTAATAAATGTGCCACTTTATGACGTTGGACTAATGACCACCAACTTCCATCCCAACCTGATTTCCCTTTGCTGTTCCTTATTGAACACGCACTGATAAAGGTCCCAGGAAGGTCCAGAGAATTCCTGAAGCTCAGCATGGTTTGGCCTCTGCCCATCTGCTTTATGTGGTCCATCCTGTGGTGGTTGGTAGCAGAATAAGAGCTGCAGGCTACTGTTAAATAAAGCAGGTCAAGTCCTGTTCTCTGGCCCTAAGGGCAAGCAGAACAGCATCCACATGGCTCAACCCGTCTTCCCACCATCCCCAGGTAATGTAACAATTATTAATCTGCATGAACCACACTGTTCAGTATTTAACTCAATGGTGTGGATGTGCCTGGGCTACTAACGTAGCCAGAGCTGCAGATAAGTGGAGGAACACCAGGACTGCCATTTCCACTGGAAGTGGATTTGCAAAGTCATCTTAGTCCATGAACATGCCCACCACAGGGAACTGACAGCACTGTGACAGTGTGTTTGTTTAGAATTATCTTAATTGATGCTGAAGCTATACATCGCTTCCTGTTTATACAACCTCCAATAATGTTGAAAGATCAAATACAAAAAACTAGCCTGGCAATTTTCAAAAGCTGTCAGAGAATATAACAGAAATGACTTAGATGAATGTGCATTCAACTTCCATGAAAAATAAATGTATATGTAACACATCACTCCACCATCTATGGAAAGCTGTCCATGGATGCTTTTACTTCTATGGGAAAGTGACTTCCTCTTAAATGGTCATGAAGCCTGGGAACCTCAAACAGTTATCAAAATATAAATCAAAGTATTTGAGTTTCTTTCTTTCTCTCTTGGATCTTTTATTTGGACTTTGAGTTTGGGATGCCTTCTCTTGACGTCTGTGGTAGGGGTCTGAAAATTAATTGACCCATTTCATGGACATAAAAGGTGCTTAAAATATGTATGTCCTATAACGTCTTATACAGTTAGTTAATAGTGAATTTAATAGGATTACTATAAATTAACAGGGGTTTTCCCCAGGATTATATTATAACTATTATGTGTTGTTTTGTGTTTTTGTAGTTCTTGGTGACTTAGTGCCTGTGTACTGGATTGTGTGCATTGTGTGGTTTTTAATCTTGAGAACTGGCCTTGTTTTTTCAGAGTGGATGAGTTCAGCCCATGGACTCAGCAAAAAAAATTTGGATACCTTTATAGGTGCTGTAGTTTGGGAATGGTGTTCTCCAATTTGGTGTTCCCCCTGAAACTACTCCAAACCATGCACTGCTTGCTCATTCCCTCCTCCCCCTCTCCTGTGGTGGGGTGGAAAACAGAACAGGAGGCACAAAAGTTCAAGATCACAGGTTGTGATAAGAACAATTTACTGGAAACACCAATGAGATAAGAAAACAAACAGTTTTCTGTTAACAACAATATTAATCTGACAACAACAACATTAATAACAAATGTGTGCAAGAGAGGTAAGGAATTGATATGCTCATCACTTTGCCAAAGGAAGCCCAATAGTACCTGGCTATACCCCCTGACCTGGAAGGGACCCTTCTCCCTCTCCTGGAAAATGAGGTGAGGTGGTGTGGAATGACCTCCAGGTCCTGGCCATGCCCTTCCTGGCTACTGCAGACATCAACACAGTCCTGAAACAGGACAACACTTAAACATGAGGTGTGTTAGTGCATGTTGGAAGGGGCGAGAAACTGCCTGTGGAGATGTAGCTGCTGCCTCTTCATCAGCTCTGTAAACTTTCAAGACCAGAAAAATGGTGGTGTTGTTTCAATTGCAAAAAACTGCTACAACTTGTGACTATTTTAACAATCATCCTTGGGAGAAAAGAGAAGGGTTTGGCCTTTCAATCAGACATCAATGTACCTGCTTAGTATGGGTGAGGTGGGGACTCCAATCTGCCAGTGCTTTCCCCCCTACCTCATTGCAAAGTCACAGATCTTCTCTAGCCCATGAGTACTGGGTGTCCATTCGTCTTCTAGCAATCAAATTATCTGTGACACATAATAGCTTTGTTTGTCAACAGTGATCGTTTTCCAGCAAAACATAATTTCATTTTCAGGTTTGGTGTTGGAATATGAGTGATTATAATCAATATATTATATCATGTTGACTGGCTGTAGACTCTTTCCACAAGGCTAAATGTTACTCTGCAGGTGCTGAACCAAGATTCAAATACCTCTTTTTCAGTGGTTCGGTCTTTTCCAGATAACTTTACTTTTGTCCTTTCATAGTCCTGTGCTTTAGGTTCTCTTTAGATTTAGATCTACTAGGAGTGATGGGTACTTTTCTTACAGACGAATGAAACATGTTAAAGCCATGTTCTGGGATTACTTACCTCTTCACATTGCAATTCATCATTTTGCCTTTCATTTGGATTCACTCTAAATGGTCACAGTGCAGGATAAAGAAAAAGCTTTGCCATCTGTGAGCATGATAAAAATTATCCTAAAAATGTTCAAGCACATTAAAGAGAAAAACATTTTGATCTAGAGACTCAAATACCTTTTGATTTTCAGGGATTTTCACTTGATTTTTCTTGCCTAAATCAAGTGAATGCAAAGAGAGTCACAAGAGGTGATGATCTTCATACCCAGGCCAAGGTTCTGCAAAAACAAAAGTCAGCATGGCATCAATCTTATTGTTGGAGACACTCTGCAGCTTTCTGTTTGCATATTATAGATCTCTGACTTTTAGAAGACATTATTATATTTAGATAACCTATGGATCATCAAATCAAACATTGTGTAGTCTTGGGGGAGATGTTAAAAGCTTTCAAGTGATTTTGTGCTCAGACATTTTAAAATAGATTTGTACATGTGTATTTGTGATGATGTAGGTTATTTTCAGCTACCTAACATTTCCCCAATCTTATGTCTTGGAAGGGACTGAAATTTTATTTTGATTTCTGTGTCCCCAGCTGACTGCAAACCGTAATGCTGCCATATATGTCTCAGATCTACCACTGCCAGACACTTCCATGTATGTTGATGTTTCTGGCTTAGAAAAGGGAAATGGGGAGTACCTTCAAGATGTACAGGAGTCAGAGCTTCATTCCAGAGGGGAGAAAACCTGAAATATTTATAACGTTCACACTGCAGGTAGCTAACAAGGACTGGTGGGAATTGCTTGATATCATCTTCCTCAGCATCTGAGGCTGAGTTATAATAATATACCCCCTTTTCCTCTAATTTACCCTTAAAAAAAAACCCCAACAAAACAAATCCAACAAAAAAAAGGAAGCACTTTTCATGTAATCTGTGTAAGTTACAGTGTATCTTCTTAAAAGCCAGTGAAGAAAAGCAGCAGATGGGCCAAACATTACCTGTTGTCGTCCCTTTGCACTGCTGCATACTAATACACCTTTGCAAAATTACAAATTTGACAAACAGCTGGAAGCTGACAAATTGCCCAGGTTCCCCTCCTTCCTTTCTCCTCTCCTCATACATTCAGTGCTGCTACTTTTGATGGATGCCCAGGTTTCTAATTTTGTCCCCTCATTTCTTGTCCTTACAGGATTTCCTCTGTGTATCTTCACATTCTTGTATTACTCCAACAATTGCCATGCTCCACCTTTAACTCCTGCCCCTGATCCCTTTTCCAAGTGCTTCCCATTGATTCTGCTTCTCATTTGCCTCTTTTCTGACTTGGCCAAGCACTTTTAGGTCAGCTGCTTTTTCCGCATCCCAAAGCCTGAGCATGGGAGGCTGACTTCAGCCAGCCTTACTGAAACCCCCAGTGAGCTCCAGGCACACACAGTTGCAGCCCCTTTCAAAATGAGCAGCAGGTTTTGGGTTGATGACAGCCATTGGTTCTGCACTGTCTTGGGGTGACTGACACCAATTTACACCATCTGAAGATCTGTGGTCACATCCTGCATTATTCATTGGAAAAAAATTACAGTAAAACTCTCAATATTCCAATTACTTAGAATACAGATTGACTCACTGAAGTCTCACCTTTGGAAATGAATGTGTGTTACTGCTGTCTTTTACTTTCTGTGTGTGCCCTCTTGTAATCTAGACTTTGTTATTTGACTTTGTTATCTGGTCCAGATTTCTTTATTTTTTTCTTCTCATCTGAGTTATTTTGGCTAATATTGCTGTTGGTTGATTTCAGACCATTTTTAGAAGATACACTAAGGAGGAAGGACCTTGAATACAGTTTTCAGACACCTCTGCAGTACCATGGCTTACTAAGATCACCAGGAATGTACACTTTCAGTAAGAAGAAAAAAGAGGAACAGAAGTTCAGAGAATGAGAAAACAATTTGACTTTAAATGAGAGAGGGAGAGGGAGAAAGGCTGCACATTGCCATATCTTGTAGGATGCTGGTGCTACCCAGGAGGAAGGAGGGTAGCAGAGGGTGGAGAGAGTAAATGGCACCTCCACCTTTCTTTTCTGAAATATGTGTATGAATGAAACAATTATCTGGGTTGGTGAAGAGCACAAGACTAGGTCACCTGGTTCTCATCCTCATATCCAACAACAACACTGTTTCACTTAATAGGGTGAAAATTGGCAACGCATCAGGGTGGAACACTCTGGGCTTCCCCCACATTGACTGTTTCCTCACTGAAGGCATTTCTGCCTGTTTACAAACCACCATTTATTTCTTAATGTTAAATTCCTCTTGGGAAAGGGATGGGTCCAGGGTGGCTGGATTTCAAGTACTCACTCTGGGTTATGTTTTGAGCCTTCCTGGACAACCACAGCATGTTGCTCTCAATGATACCAATTACAAATGAGGTAATGAGTGCTTTCATACAAAACAGCTGTTTTCAACTCCTTATCTGCAGAGCAAATAAGTCTTCACTTTTACATTCTAAATTTTCACTTCTGATGTTAACCTATGTTTAGACCAGCTGTATCCCTTTACACTAATAAAAATAATGTTTCAATGGTTTGAAATTTCACAGGGCAAAAAAGTACAAAAGAACAGTTGAAGTTGTCATTTTGTGAGTATTAGTTCTACAAGCAGGGCTTTCCCAAACTCCTAGAGCTCTTTCAGGCCTCTGTGGGACTGTTATGAGCTTAGCCTATCTCTGCTTTCCCATCCAAAAAAAAGTTGTAAAGCTACACCTACACATGGATCCTGGCACAGGCATCTCTGAAATACTGTTACTTTTAGGGAGAAGAGTCATCAATTAGTGAAGTCTTGAAAGGAAAAGTTTTAAAAATAAAAAAAAAAAATTATATAAAAAATAGTAACAAATGTTTCTTTGAAACAAAAAAACCAAACATTTCATTCTGAAAATTTGACAGAAGCCTTCAACTATTTTCACTGTTTTTACATTTTCTTTTTTGGCTGAAAACAATTCAACTTAAATTTGTAATTTTTTTTTCAGCAGCTGCATTTCTATTTCTTGGCTGGAATGAGGCTCTTAAGAGCAAGATATTAAAATGTGCTTCTGGAAGGAACAGAACTGTCATAAGCATGTTTGCATCTGACTTTCAAAGAAGATTTCTGCTTTGGAGATGGAAGTTGTCAGGGTGCAGTGGGGGCTGAGCCCTCCTTGGGGGCTGTGGTACTTGCAGGGGTCTCACAGCCAGGGGCCAGCCCAGTGCCCTGGCCATGAGCAGGGCAGGCAGGGGGCTGCCCCAGGCCCTGGGCACGTCCAAGGGGCTGGGACAGGCTGAGCCACACCAGAGCATCAGCCTGGTGCTGGGGCCGCAATCAGCCCATCGAGGGGAACCAGGCTCAGACACACCCCAGGGTGGCCGAGCAGGTCCATGGGGAGAGAATTAACAGGAGATCAAATACCAGTGTTTCTACTGTGAAAAAAGGGTCACTAATGCTCCATCTCATGAAACAGGAATGTTGCTCTAGTCCTGGCCTAATGAATCATTGACACATTTAAATGTTCTTGAAAGGCTCCGATTTAGTTGTTGACCTAAATGGGATTATAGCACTATGCAGCAAGCTTTAATTTCAGTATTGCCTATAGGCAGAAGAGAGTCCAGGAGATTTAAACAAAGGCTGACCATAATTAGAGGTAGTGTTCAACAGAAGAATGTACAAGCACACCTGTGATTCAGAGTTAAAACTCAGGCAGATAAAATACTACATGACTTCCAATTAGTATGAAAAAGATGCGTTCTCGGCAATTCTCCTTTATGCTCATGTGAGAAAGAAGAGTTAATTCAACTACAGTTAATTTCATGCCCTCTATAATGTACCCAATTATATCATCCTAATTATTTCAAGCCCTCATATGCTTTGGTTGAGTGCCTTTTTTGGAAGAGGATATTAAATAACAATTATCCTCCTCATTAATACAATGCACGATAAAGAGAAAACAAACAAGACATGGATGAAAGGCATAAATATAATTTATATTTTTTATTCACTTTCCCCCTGATCTTTCCACAACAGCAGTAATATTAGTCATGGAGATATGAGGAGGCTAGGAAATTTTTTGTCTTGCCTTGCCATTTCATTTTTGTCTGGTTAATGTGTAAGGGTGGGGGTATTTTAGAAGCTTTAAGGGCTTTTCTGAGAGCTCAGCTATTATTAACCCATAGCACTAGGCTACAGCTGCAGAAGTTGAGACTTCAATTAGTTCTAATTCATGCTTGTTTTTTTTAATTTGGACAATGAAGCATAAAAAGGTTCAAGTCATAGCAAAGGATAAGGTAGGAGGGTAATGTGCATTTCTTCTGTATTAAGACTAAAATGAGGCAAATTTAATGCTATCTCATCCTTAAGAAGGTACACAGTACTTGAAGACAGTGTATGAGGCAGTCTTCCCACACTTTTGACCCAGTTAAGGTGTCAGCCTTCAACTATTGTGATTAAGCAACACTCCATCATCTTCCCCATTATGTGAGAGGTGGGAGTGAGGGTGACAACCCCTGTGATCAGAAGAGACACTTTAGTCTGGACTCTGTTGCACCAATGGTAGAACAGTCCCCAGTGAGACCACATAAAGGATAAATATAAAGGATAACAATCATAGAAACTATGAATCAAAAGAATAGAGTTGTGTTGGAAGAGATCTTTGAAGATCATCCGGTTCTATTCTCTTGCCATGGACAGTGACACCTTCTGCTATAGTAGGCTGCCCAAAGCTCCATCCAGCCTTCGTGGGATAGGGCATCCACTGCTTCTTTGGGCAACTTTTTCCAGTGTCTGACCACCCTCACTGTAAAATATTTCTTCCTTATATAAAATCTAAATCTACTCTCTCAGTTTAATACTGTTGCCTCTTGTCTTGTCACTATTGGCCCCACTAAAAAGTCTGCCCCTGTCTTTCTTATAAGTTGCCTTTAGGTACTGGAAGGTGCTCTGAGGTTTCCCCAGAACCTTCACTTCTCCAGACTGAGCCCAAATCTTCTCTTCATAGGAGAGGTGCTCCAGCTCTTTGATTACCTCCATGGTCCTCCTCTGCCCTTGCTCCATCAGGTCCATGTCCTCCTTGTGCTGGGAGCCCCAGCTCTGGATGTGACACTGCAGCTGGAGTCTCCCACAGCAGAGCAGAGGGCAGAGTCACCTCCCTCCCCACACTGCTGAAGAGGCAGCCCAGGATAGGATTGTCTTTCTGGGCTACAGGTGCATGTTGCTGGCTCATGTCCAATTTTTCATCCACCAATATCCCTGAGTTCTTCTCTTCAGGACTGAATTTATACAATGTAAAGGTCTAGCTTGGATAAAGTACAGTTTCAGCTCATATAATTTTTATTTATGCAAACTTTGGGAAGTGCAGGAGTGGATATGCTGTACATGAAGCAATCACTGAGATGATTTCTTCATTTGGTTGTATCAAGATAAGAAGAAATGTAAAAAAAATATCCACTACCTATGTTTAATTCTCAAATCTCAAGCAACCGGATAACAGTGTTCTGTTTGGAATAGAAATGTGTAGCTGGCCTTCAGTAGCCTCCTCCTTCCCACCTGTTCTCTATATTCTTTAAGTGGGAAGATGAATAATGATTCAGCTGTTTCATGCTCTTTCAGATTCTTACTCATCAGGGAGTGCAACTGCAAGTCTCATCTAGCATGGGGTTATAAAAATGTGCAGACAGAAATACCCTGAGTCTGTATAAGCTGAGGTTGCTTCTGTCATTTGGCTCATGTAAAGATTCTTCAAATCCTCTTACAGTAAAGGGCTGTAGGGCTGATCAAACTGTGCCTGCCTGTTTTATAACAAGCAGCAAATAAGCGTTGCTGAGTCACCTTCAGTGTGAGCTCACTCTTTTTTTAATTCCTGAGAGCAGGTGTCACATGCTTTTTCTGATGCAACTGCTGGTAACTGCTCTGCTGTCACCCATTGTGTCACTTGGCATCACGGGCAGAGTCAGCTGATGATGTGAAGGAGAGAGGGTCATCATCTGATACTAAAGTGCAAACAAATTCAGATAAACATTACCTCATTGAGGACTAAGGGGGGATGGGTATAGCCCAAATAAAAAGTAGAGAGGATACAGAAAACAAAGGGAAATGTCTACTGCAGGAACATTCTTTTACCCTGGGCAGAGTTTTCAGCAGGTTTTGCATCAGCCAAGCACGTTCTGTACAGCTATGCAAAGGCAGAGACAAAAATAGAGTACCCTACCAGGTGTATATTTGTACAAGCCCTTCTTGGATGAAATTCACCTGAAAAGCATCCTGGAGCTGGGCTCAGAACCAAATTAGGCTATGATTCCTATGTGCAGATATTCAGCATGATACACAGGCTCCAGCCACTTTTCAGCAGATCAATGCATTTCTCCTCTGCTGGCTCAAAATTCTGGCAATCAATATAGTCTGGATAAGCCTGGTGGATCAGGAGCCACATAAATGCATCTATCCCAGCCTTTTCAGGTCTATCTTCATTCAGACCATTTGGAAAATATGTAGATTCCCCCCTCTTTTATTTTTTCTGTCCTTTGTTAAATGTAGTCTAGGTACTCATGGAGAGCATGTTCTTTTCTAGTTCACTGGCTTCAGTGGGAGAATTGAATAGTAAATGACTGACAAAGCACCAAAAAATTCGGGCCAAAGTGAGCACGATGTGATTTTATGAGTTTCTCCTTCAGCAAAGTTATTCAACCAGGGAATTTTATATTAGGTCAGCATTTGGTGGGAATGCTCCCTTTTACCTAAAGGCATTTGCTGAAGAAGAGTTAAAATAAAAAGGTTTTGTCTCATAAAAAGATGAATGCATGTGCATGTGTAGAGACCAGTGGTTCAAGCTCTGGAGCTCTGTGGGACCCAGCTCAATTTGCTTTGACAACAGAGACCACTTTCAGTAGCTTGGTAAGGTCCAGTGGCCACCTTGTCTGTCCAGTGTTGTACCCTAAGGTGAACACTGCAGCTCTCTAAGGACACAGCTTACAGGAGATTATGTGCTTAGGGTGGGGCTCAAAGCAGGCTGTAGGTTAAGCAGGGAACTACAGTGGGTAGCTGGGAGAGAACCAGGAGAGAGAGAGCTGCAGGGCTGGGTGGGCAGGGGCAAGATGCATGTCTCCAGGGTCCTCACTCCCAATCCAAAGCTGGGACACTACCCCAAGGGTAAATGCTTGCATTC